TAAGACATTAATCAGGTATGACAAGAATATAGGCAATTAAAAAACAATAGATCAGTCAACATCAATGTTGAGGGCACAGTAGTCTGAAATACAATGTTGTAAATTTCAAAGAAATTAAATTATTTTATGCAAATAAGATAAAAACTTATAGCTTATACACAACTGAAGGTACAAGAATTATTGGTTGGTAAGATATTTTTAGGCAACAGACTTTTTCCTTAATTCAATTATTTTAGAGAAATTCCAACAAACTTACATTTGAAAATTGTTTTTAATAAAGTTGAAAAAATAAAAGTATGAATGTTCACTAAGCCAACAATTTTATTCTGGACCTAATTTCTACCAACATTTTATGTGAAAACTGTTAAAGAGCGCCCTCAACATTGAAGAAGCAAGAAGCATCACATTCTGCCTATAGATGGCGCTATACTGAAAAGGAATGGACAGGATTATTTTTTTTAGTCTAAATACATATAAATTTTTTATTATTGTTAAAATACATTTGTCATGGAAACCAATTTTAAAGACATGATGAAAATGTAGACTGCTGATAATGTTTAAAAAGCAAAATATACAGAAAATTCCATTAAAAAATATTTATTATAGATTATTTGTTTGAGAACTGATTGAATTTGTTGTCATGACTATGCGGTAAAAAAAAAATCATAAATAGATTTGGTGATGGATTATAAAATATTTACAATGATACTAAGCTATCATAGACCTGTGGATATACTGACACTTGTGAACTGATGAACAAAATATTTACTACAATCTCATTCCGGCAAACTTTAACCCTAATCCTACATGCATCATTTTTCTTAATTGACTTGACCAGATAAAGGTTAAAGTTACTAACCATATGGATAGGTTTTCAAAATTATTTCAATTAGCACTGGATATGTTACCAGACATATCCATTTTTCATGACATGTCTAACAGTAAGGATATGATTACTGTCATTCTAGAACAGACTGCATTATATTGGAATATTGATTCGGTCAAAACATCTAAGATTCAATGCATCTAGTATGATACCAAAAATTCTACATATATTGATGCTTCCTTCAATTTAATAAACCTGTAGAATGATTCTCTGTTCCAAATTTGTTCTATTAGTCATGCATGCATAGTCAAAAATAAGTAATATACTGTAAATTTAATTTCACACAAGACGCATCTTTTGTGAATTTCGCGCGTCAGTGAAACTGGCAAAATTTTGTAGCAGTGAGAATTCCTCTGGGTTTCTAATAAGCTGGAGTCTTGCAAAAATTTGTCTTCACAAATGCCGTAAAATTGGGGAAAATTAAATGGTTTACAGTATTAACAATTCATTAAAAAATGCAATTTTCGGTTCATATGTGTAATATAGTAAATATGGTACTTTGAAAGCAATATACAGTTTACAAATGTCTGTAACTCCTAAATATTGTTTTTTTCTAAATGACACCTAAATGTATTCTACTGTGTAATTACACAGTAAGCAAAACACAACATGTTACTTGCATAACCCATACATGCTAACTCTACTCCTCATAATCACAGTAGTGGATCTGCACACTTTTAATATAGGATTATTATCAATCCATAAGACTGTTTTGATTACTGTCAAAATCAGTGCACATATACATACACTGCACAGAAAAAATGAATTACACTCACAAATTATAATGTCACTATCTTCTTCATTATATGTTTACTAATCAAAACAACGACAATATTAGTCAAAATATCATCAAATTAGATACATTTTTATCTATTATTGAAAATAACATTCAGTGTATTGTTCATTTATGGCAGTGATTATAGCTACTGTTCTGGATAGCAAATTATTAATTAAAAAAATGAAATATTTTTTTCCACATTTTGTTTATAAAATCACTGTACATAATAAAAACACATATGTACATACAATGCTGATATTATTAAAAAAAAAAAAATATTTGAATCTCTTGATTCAGTTCTGACTCAGGGGCACCGTAAATTGTCATGGGATTTGTAGCTTTGCACATTTTAGTCATCTTTCATATCTTTGCAAACAGCAACTCCCGGTTTGATAATGGTATCATCCAAACTTATTTTCTCACAAACATTTGTGACATGTTTTATTTGCCCTGCACTATTAAAGTACCTTTGCCTTAAAAACAAAAGATCTCAGTATAATATTATGTTACTTGGTTGCTGTTGTTAAACGATCGTTGGTGTTATCGTTGCATACTCTGTGCGTGGTGGCTGTGGGTAGTTGGGTGTACTCTGAGAAGTTGGTCCTCTCAAATCCAAATCTGCATACTGCAACTGAGGTTCTGCCTGTTAAGTTAAAAATAAAACAGAAATTAGTCACATTAAAAGATGCATGGCTATTTATTTTTTTAAAAGATGAATATTTAACCTTCTGAGTGCTGAATTAACAATCACAAATTTAAAAAATCTGCACAATTTTTCCATATTTTTTTTAACATTTTGTTTCAAATCAAAAGGAATTATGTTCATCATCAGACCCTAGATTAATAAAAAAATAAATTACAGAAAAAAATATTTTACACAGATTATGACATTCAATTGAGTTATAATTATAGCATATTAATTTTAAAATATTACAATACATGCACCAATTTAGTCAATCTGGAAACTAAATTTTATTTCTTTGAGGGAGACTAAAAGGTCCAGTAAGTTGAATACTTTCGTGATCAGTGTGTGTTTTTGTTTTGAGTGTTTGGTATTTCTGAGTGTTCTTTTATTTTTGAAGTTGAAATATGTTTTTTTATTCGTCATCGATTGGGGTGCTATGTGTATTTTATTTATCACTAACTAGAAAGCCTTTCTATGTCAGACTACATGAATCATGAATACTACAGTCCTGTATACAATGCGTATGAGGGCAGCTGGTGCTGGCGATAAACAAAGGATATAATACTCTATTCCTGTCTTTTATTAAAAACAGACAACCCCAATATGGCCGCGTTACAGGTCAAATTTCTCGTAAAACTGATCAGGGGAAGATACTTTTTTTTGTTTAGTGCAGAATCATGGTATTTCAAACAGAAATGAAATTCTAAGCTCATAATAAAAAGGCAAATGAATTAAATGTGAAATTTAGTTTGAGATTATCAAAGCTTTTTCTAATAATTTGACTGAAAGGTTCAAATATGCATGTACAGTTTCTAGAAAAGGCAGATAATGTACGCACAGATATCCCTGTTGTGTGTAATCTGGATTTGTTTTCAATAATATTTAAATCCTAAAAGTCCTTAATCCATATATAATCAGGAGGGATGTCATGGACAAGATTAAAATTTCTGGGGGGGGGGGGGGGCTGGGGAGGGCTGGATTAGTTGACTATCATAATTAAAACAAAATAATCCCCAATGTTTGCCAAAGTATATTTACTTAGTGTATATTTCCTTCCTTCAAAGCAGCATGGATTTGTTTTTATTCAGTTCTGCTTTCAGTTTACAGACAATGTAATTTCCCCGGTTTATTTAGGTTCAAGTTTCAGATTCGAATCCAGTCATCCATTGTCATTTACACTCTGTGTATTGCTATGTTAATGCAAATTAATCTCCATTGTAAATCAAAACCTGGTCACATAAAAAAGGACTTTTGTGCCCAATTCTCACAGTATTCTATTAAATTCAAGACAATATTGACTTCCACCAGATGGTCTGTAATCCAAAAAATTTGAACTACCCTAAACAGATTTACTCTTGATCTGTGCCTATATTAGTTTTAGTGTGATATTAACATTTTTTAAATAAATAAATATACATTAATTATCAATAATTACTAAATTATGACACTAAATATAATCACTATTAAAGAAGGGTGGTAGTGAATTATTTCATGAAATTTAAGGGACAATTTCGTGAACCTAGTGATATTTTGACAGATTGAAAATTAGATTAGTTAGGTTTCAATTTTGATTTTGAAAAAAAAACAGTCATGCAGTCATTTCCATGGAAAAAAGGCATTGTAGTTTCCTTATCCATTTCTATGACAACAGCCATTTTGTGTAAAAACTGGGTCAAATTTAGAAGACTGAACTATGAAATTGAGTTGAGTGACCATGTTTTTATTATACTTTCACTACCATCCTTTGCTCACAATACTGTACACTCATTATTTATTCACAGTGTTTTTGCCGATTTTTGAAATTTTCCAAATTGAATTCACATAAGCATGTAAAATTACAGTTGAAATTAATCCTTCCACTGTGAAATCAATTTCAAACTCAGTGAATATAATAAAATATTAAACAAGAGAATTGAAATACAAAATACTGACATACATATCTCCCATGCTTCATTTAGGATTACCAACCACTAGTTACTGACTACTATGTAATTCATACATACCGTGATGTAAGGATTTCCAATAAGGTAGATTTTATATGTATATGATAACTGTAAATAACATATCGCTTTGTCTTTTACAATTTATATAGACTTGTATTATTGACATTTTTTATTATAGGTTTGCAGTTAATGTTTCATTGCTAGAAATTAGTTGTATTTATACTTTGCAGAAACTCTGTATCAAGAACACCAGTTAGGAGTGCATGAGATTGTTTTACTCAAGAAAATTTGTTTCTGATGGAATTTTAAGCAGATTACAGTAACAAATCTATCACACAGTGTTCAAGTGTATACACATGTGGTCCATGCAGTGTTCAAGTGTATACACATGTGGTCCGTGCAGTGTTCAAGTGTATAAACATGTGGTCCATACAGTGTTCAAGTGTATACACATGTGGTCCGTGCAGTGTTCAAGTGTATACACATGTGGTCCTGGCAGTGTTCAAGTGTATAAACATGTGGTCCTTGCAGTGTTCAAGTGAAAAAACATGTGGTCCATACAGTGTTCAGGTGTATAAACATGTGGTCCTTGCAGTGTTCAAGTGTATAAACATGTGGTCCATA